GTATGGGCGCCCAACGGACACTGGGGAAGAGCCTCTGCGGCGTTTCAACGAACTCGTACGTCGAAGGCAAGAGCAGTGTAGGGCTAGTTTATGCTTTTCAGCGCCTTAAACCCCAGTTTAGGGGTTTAGGGTTTAGGGTTTAGGGCCCCAAATGGAAAACGTTTGGGGTTAATTACAAGGTGTTCAGAGGTCCGAGGTTTTGCACTTGGTTCAGCAAAGGTCTTGCAGGGTTTTGTAAGGGTGCAACAACACTCGTCGAGAGCGAGCGCCCAAGACGGGTGTAACAAGTAAACAGCGTCTTTGCTGGTTTCCGACTATATTTATAGTACACAGTACTCAGGCCCTCGTATAATACAGGGCTTGGGTGGGGTTAGGACGGTTAAGGTTGAAAGCTATTTGGTGCCGGCTTCGGCAGGGCAAGGTGCCGAAGGGATTGTTGTATCCGCGAGAGGAATGGTCCAGGAGTGAAAGCAAGAAGACGAGCCAGTAACAGATTGGGTTCAGGGTTCACCTGTGGATCCGGTCCAAGGCTATACCCACTATAGTCATGAAGTCATAACCTTGTGGATCCAATGTGATTAGTGCTCAATGTGCTGAAGGGCTTAAGGACTCGGATTGGGCTGACTGGTAGCGCAGGAAAAATTCCGACATGTAAGCCGCATCATGTCCGAAGCCCGAATGCCAAGTCTTACTCCAGCTGTTCAGCTAGGCACCGATACAAACTTCTTCCTGCAGAGGCGAGCATGGTGTTTCGCTTGCATCACATTTGTAACCCTACACTCCGCCAAACCCTAAACCCGCAAAACCCTTAACCAAACCCCATACACTCAACCCTTCCTGGCACTTCCACGTGCATTTTGTCCCGGCGTCTGGTACGTTTCGACAGTTCCGAGAAGCTGCAATCCCATGCTGGACACCAAAAGGTGGGTTCACGTTAAGGACCTCCACGTAAGATTTAACCTAAGTTATCGCAGTGGGGGTTCATTTTTTTGCTATGCTTGTTACCATCTCACGAGATCTCTCAGAGAGCCAACCCTAAACCCTAAAGCCCTACATCCGAAACTCGAAGTGCTGACACCTGGAAGGCTGGGGGAGTCAATTGTCCGAAAGATGCCAAGCTCTGTTCCCCTGGCGCCTTGCATCTACATGCTCCCTTGCTGCCCAATCTGTAGACTTCCGTGTTGGGTTCAGAGGTAATGGGCCTGCATCGTTGGGAAAAGTTTGCGTGAGAATTCCCTCTGACAAATATAGTACACTGCTCATTAGGGCTCCTGTATTGGCTGATATGTAGGTTCCGGGCGCAAGCATAATATTTTCGCGGTCCTTACCCAGACTGAGCTCAGCGAGTAAGGCTCGGAGCGGCAAGTATGCCATGGTTGTCTGATGCACTCGAGCGGATCATCTTTCAGTTGAGACTGCCGGACAATCCACATGACCCACTTTACTGGGCATGGCGATGCATCATTGAATGGGCGTTCCTGTCCTTGGTGTCTTTTCTGTGCGCAAGGATGAGCCTGTCCTTGTCAATTTTTTGGGCACGCGTGTTTCCAAATGTGTCAACTATCTGGATCGGGCTGCTGACACTGGTCGTCGCTGGCACACCCGCGATTTTAGCTGTAGCTGCCTTTCTGTACACACAAGCCGCAAGCCAAGATATCTGGCCTTGGACGATCTTCTTTCTTTTCGCGCTTCTGGCCACTTTGCTCATCTTGCCAGTATTCGGATTTTGTAAGTGGTTTCGCAGTAGAAGGTCTCTATAAGGGTCTACATAGGCATGATAAGTGGGCTAAACCCCAAGCCTAAACCCCTAAA